GTATATATATAATAGACTACATTCAGATTTGAGTATTTTACAACTCAAAACACAATTTAAAAAAATCATTTATTACAGAGATTTTTCTTTAATTGTTCACATTTTGTTTTTACACTGTTTGCCCAAGTTTTATATTTAAATAAACATTAAGTCTCTGGGTTTAGTTCAGGTTCAGATTCAGGTTTATCTAAACCCAACAGGACGTGCGCCCAGATTAATACAATGCAATTAAAAAAAAAAACAATATAAAAACTCTTCTCCTCTCTTCTGTTCTTTTCTGAACGTTTTATTTTTTCTGATTACACAAAAGCCAAATGAGGAAACAAGGACTCGGAGGAAAATTAAGCCCCGCCTTCTCCCTACGCAGTGGGAGGAGTCACACTTGAGCCAGATGACAGACTGGTGTGCAAAGGTGATACACGGGTTGTCTCAAACAGGCAGCTGGACCTGAACTTTCACAATAAAAGTCTCTGAAGCAGCGTCTGCRCATCAGTTTTTCCACCGTATTTGCTGCAAAGAAAAAAGCAGGAAGAATTACGAGAGGTCACGTAAAGTCATGATCATCATCATCATCCTCCTCCTCTTCCTCACCGTGTTTTTGAGCAGCTGGTTAATCTTGCTGTCCTCCRTGGAGCCTCGCTCCACCTTCTTACGGTACTCCATTAACAGCTGACGGTCCTTCATGTCCCGGTACGTCTGATTGGTCGAGAGAGAAAACGTCAAAGCCAATCAGTGACCTCGGCTGTGGGAAACCTTAACGAGACTCACGTTGATGAYGATGTCGTGACATTTGTGTTTCTGAGCCAGGCTGATCCTCAGCTCCGCGTCGTCCACCAGTCCCACGTACTCCTGCAGCACCTGCCGGGAACCAGGGACAGAGTCAGTCCTTCCCTCGCGAGCGGCGATGCCGCTCTTTGGCCCCGCCCACTCACCAGTGTGGGGGCGGAGTTCTTCTGCAGGATGTCGACGACTCGYTGGAAGCTCAGAGGCGATTTCTTTTTGGTCATGCCGAGCCAGTTCCGGCTGGCGAAGAGGGCGTCCACGTCGGCCCACGCCTTCAGCTTCGCCCTCGCCGCCAACGCCGTCGCAAAATACTGCTTCTTTGAGACCTGAGGTCAAAGGTCGCGCTGTCAGAAACTCTGACTCACGTTCAGATTAAAAACAAAACAGTTCTCACCCTGAAGGTGTGACGGATGTTCAGCGGGCTGCTGTAGGTTCCCTGGAAACAAAAACAACAACAACAGAACGAGTTGAAACCAGATTGTTTGGTTCGGGTTTGTTCKAGTCTGGTTTAGTTTAGTTTAGCTCAGGCTAACCTCGGACTCGTTGTAGTGGTACAGGCAGCAGTAGTACAGCGTCGTGATCAGAGGCATGTAGAGGATCGGAGCTTTTCTGGGAAACTTCTGGAAGATTTCCATCTTTCCGTCGCGCTCCGCTCTCTGATCTGCTGCCTGGCAACAAGACAGACAGGAAGCAGGATTTAAAGCAAAGTTTGATTAACAAAATAAAAGCCCAAACATTATTCAGGACTTAGACTTGGAACTGGTTCTGACCTCGATGATGATCTGCCTCTCCAGCAGAGTGTAGTGATCCTGAACGTGAGCAGAGTCCTCCGGAGAAAACGGAAGACTGAAAACAAACCGAAGAGTAAATAATAATAAAAACACAGCATCTGTCAATCAAAGGTTCACGCAGACAGCAGGTCCAGAAAGAAACCAAGACCACCCGTCTCACCAGCGCCACCTGCTGGGTCCAAGACCACACAGGGAATATAATCCTGCCCTGAGTTCTGGGACTGGTTCTTCACAATCCAGAACCAAGAATGGATTCTGAAACTGGATTAGATCCAGTCCTGGTTTTAATCTGGATCAAAAAGTTTTTAGTTTGATTTGGACAACTTTGATCAAAAATCTGTATKAATGTGATTCCAACAGTTTGGTGGATAAAAATAAATCATTTAAATTAATAATTTTAATTCCAACTTGTCAAATAAACAACATTCATCATGAAATAAATTTATATGTATTTTACTTACTTTACATAAACTTTTTTACTCATTTACTTTCTTCCTTTCTTTACTTACTTAACCTATTTACTTTCTTTGTTTACATACTTCCTTTCCTTATTTAATTACTTTTTACT